GAGGACACAATCAAGTCTACCTTTTACAGAAGGTTATTGCTAAATTGGCGGTAAAAAACAAGCAACATGAGGGGGGGGGGATTCCTTTCTGTAAAATGCATGGAAGAAAAAATTTCTAAAAATCATTTAAACTAGTGATTTATACAAACTTTTTAACGTACCCCTTACTCGTGACAGGCATCTGGATGTGATTATAAAGAAAATTCTTAAGGTATTCTCTCTACATAAGATGCATATAAAAGGTTGTTTTCGTTTTATTCATTCTAAAGGGTGTTTTTTTAGAGGTATAGAACTTTAAATTGCAATAAAACAACGATGTATTATTCGATTGACAGGAATTTTTTTTATTTGAAAGATAATCTTGTGGCATTACATTTTAAATATGATTTCTGACATAGGACTGCCACGGCTGGCTCGGATGTAGTCCAATCTGGACGTCCGATTTTCGATGACTTTTTCCAACATTTGTGGCCGTATATCGGCAATAACACGGCGAATGTTGTCTTCCAAATGGTCAAGCGTTTGTGGCTTATCCGCATAGACCAATGACTTTACATAGCCACACATAAAATAGTCTAGCGGTGTTAAATCACAAGCTCTTGGAGGCCAATTCACAGGTCCAAAACGTGAAATTAGGCGGTCACCAAACGTGTCTTTCAATAAATCGATTGTGGCACGAGCTGTGTGACATGTTGCGCCATCTTGTTGGAACCACAGCTCTTGGACATCCTGATTGTTCAATTCAGGAATGAAAAAGTTAGTAATTATGGCTCTATACCGATCACCATTGACTGTAACGTTGTGGCCTTCATCGTTTTTGAAGGAGGATTCCACCAGCCCATAAAGCGCACCAAACAGTCAGTTTTTCTGGATGTAACGGTGTTTCGACATACACTTGTAGATTAGCTTCACTCCAAATGCGGCAGTTTTGTTTGTTGACGTAGCCATTCAACCAAAAGTGCGCTTCATCGCTAAACAAAATTCGCTTATGAAAATCGGGAACAACGACAATCTCGTTTTGCGCCCATTCGACGAATCTACGCCTTGCTTGATGATCGTTTTGATGAATTGCCAAACCAAACTGAGAATAAATCACTTGACAGCTGTTAAATCGGTCGCCATCTTGGAAAGAAATGCCAACTTAAACTTCTATACTTGGAAAAAAACACTCTTTATATTGAATATATTTAGAATTTGATAAAATTATTGATATTAATTAAAATTCGTTGCCGATTGACCTACAGTCTGTCAAAAAAGTATTGGGACACACTACCAGTTCATAGATTTTTTATCATAATATTTTACTTAAACATACAAATGAAACCAAAAAAAAGTAAATGTTATTTTAGTAAATACAAACAATAATAGTTTCAACAAAACTCATTCATTAATGTAATTATGTTTAATATTGAAAATAAAAGAAATAGAGTTAAAAAACGTGCTCACAAAAAAGTATTGGGACACTTCCCAATAAATTAAGAAAACCAATTCAAACTTAGAAACTAATATTTTGTTGGGCCTCCCTTGCTTTTTATGACCTCTCGAAGTCTATTTGGCATTGATTGGATCAATTTTTTGCAAAAAAATCTATCGATTTTGGTCCACTCTTCGACCATATTTTTTCCTAAATCCTGCTGGTTAGAAATTTGGTGCTCATATAGTTTTTGCTGCAAATAATACCACATATGTTCAATAGGATTAAGGTCTGGATTTTGTGCAGGAGTCTTAGAAACACTAGGACAGTGGTAGAGGACCTATAATTGCAAATATCTGCAGTATGTTTCCGGTCATTATCTTGGTACAATTTAAAATATCCTTAGATTCCCAGCTTGCTCACACTTTGCTTTAAAATTCGCTTCAGGATGTCAAAATAGACATATTTATTCATTATACAATCAATAAAATATAAGTTCCCGAAACTACAGCTTGCCATGCAGTCCTAGACAATTTGGTCACACCCTCCATATTTGACAGTAGGCCGTAAATTTTTGACATGCATTGCTGTATTTGATTTTCACCAAACTTTTTGCTTTCCATCCGGTCCAAAAATGTTATATTTGCTTCCATCAACAAAAATTATATTTTCCCAATATTCTGTTGGCTGCCTTACATACATTTTAACAAATGCCAACCTAGCTTTTGATTTTTGCTTGTGTGTTTTAAACACTATTTGTTTTCTTTAATCTGTCTCAATAATGTTAAAAACAGTAAACATACTCAATTTCAAGATTTTTCCCCTATACAGCGAACTTATTTCCCCTCTTTCCAATGACTTATTACGATATTTCGCAGAACGACCGATATATCTTTGTTTTTCGACATTTTTTATATAAATAATCTTATTTGTTGAAACGTTTATGTTTAAACTTCTAGTCTATAAAAAGTGATGTGAAATTAAATTCTATTGATGCGCTGTATATTTGTTAAATTTCTCATTTCAAAAGTGTCCCAATACTTTTTTGACTCCAGTGTGCTTTTGAATTATATTTGAAAAGTTAGATCAAGTTATAATTCTATACTACTAATAAAATTTTCCTTGTATACTGTACACCAAATGTTAAAATATTTCTTAATTCATTTTGTTTTTGTTTTTATGTGATAAATATTTTTATAAATGGTTGTACGCAGAGTTATGCACGTCAAGTGTCCCAATACATTTTTGAGTGACTGTATCTTTACAACTGAAGGCTCCTAAAGATAAAAATTTTCAGTTATGTCACTAACATGACAAATGATCATGTTGCTTGTTAGACTAAAGCGGAATTCACACCAAAGCTGTCAGCGTCGAGCGTCTAGCCAATCAGAGACCTTGTCTCGCCCGAGATAAAGTCTCTGATTGGCTAGACGCTAGACACTCGACGTTTGTACGCCTTGGTGTGAATGAGCCTTTACATCGAAAGCAAGAATAGATTTCTGACGCTAGATTAGAGGTTCCCAAACTTTTTATATTATAGAACCACTCCCGTTGGTGTGGTAGCTAGAAGAGGAAGGGTGCCAGCTCAGGTGTTGTCCTCGTCACTTCACCATGTTTCAATATTACGAGGTTCGTCCCCAAAAGCCCTCGTGTTATGTTTACAAATGTTTATAATGATAGAGATAAATCTGGTGCTTCAACAACAAATTTTCAACATTTGCCATCAATCTTGTCAAGTTTAACCCTAAATTTCCTCGTTTAGTAGTGTCCAGCCAGCAACCGCGCGGAAACTCCGTCTCTCCAGGATAAGCAATTAAAAACTTTCTTTCAATACTCCATAATTCGAGATAAATAATGGGTATGTGTTTTTAAAGCCTAGAAATTGCTGACATCCGTTTCTCTGTAAGGTCTTCATTACTGCCTATTCCGATCAGTTCCTCTTAAAACATGACTTTTTTTCAATGTGACCGTACGAATTCATTGCCTTCTGTGGAAATTACCAAGTAAATGTATTGTTAAAATAGTTTCAAAATCTGAATAAAGGGTATTTAAATGTTGAAAGTAGATAAAAAAAAACGTCCTTTTTTTCTGGCAGATAGTCTGTGACCAATTGAGGAACTATGAAAATTCGCGACGTCCAATTTTGTACTCTTTTAAGCTTAATTCTGGCAAGAAAAGCTGAAAAGCTGGTCCTTGCTTTAATAAAATTTATGCTGACACTTTAAAGGTCCAAATTAACACCTCATTAAATTTAGTCAATAAATCTATTTAATGGGTAAAGTTTGACTTCCATTTGATTAAATTTTCTTTTTCAAATTAATGTCGCTATCTGGTTTAATGAGAACTACTAACGTAGACTCCCATTTACTCCTCATGAACTTCCAAATTATTTTTTTTGCTGTCGTGGACCCCTTGCAGGTCGCCATAGACCCCTGGTGGGTCTATATACAGTGCTGGTTTATCAATTGAGCGCTTGAGGTGGGCACCCTAGAGGCAAGGAAGGCCCGAATATGCAGGACTGCTTACAAATTTCGATCATCCAGTGAAAAGGGTCCCTGCAGATCTTCTGTACTCAGGGCCCAAAATGATTTGAAATCAGCACTGTCTGTATAGACCACTTTTGGAATCATTGTGCTAGATTATCGAATGTCACATTTAGTTAATAGGCTTAAAATCAATAATAGAGCTAAGATTTAAATGTAAAATAACCTGTTAGTGGCACTGGGCTCGAACTCATGACATGCCTGCCATGATCCGATACCCTGACCACTGGGCTACCACAGCCCGTAAACCCATTTGAAACAAACATGTTTGACGAAGATGGCGGTGTGAAAGAAAACATTTACATCATGTTTAATACCATTATATCGCTTTCAGGAAAACTGGTTGGAGGAAAAGATCTCTCATATTTTGTGATCGGCGAAATTCAATTCTAATCAAGGCTTCCATCAGGTAGAACTATTTGTGGCTTATTTATTAGAGCACGCATACACAGAAGCTTTTATTATTCTACGAAATGGTATTCACGAAAATCTGAATTAGTACTTAACAATCAGTTTGAACGTCGATTCCCGTGAAATTCACCTTTCAAACATTAGGCTCCATCGGAAAGATTCTTTTTTTTTTCAATGGAGTTGCGTATTGGAATTTACCATTGTAGACCTAGTACATTCCCCGGGAGTTGGTATAAATTGAAGTGCAGAACCATATACGTGAATACCAATCCCCACAATGTAATTTTGACGCCAGGTTTCTCCCCAGATGGAGGCACCTGAGCTCTGATAATGCGAAATGGTACTACGAATTTAATTTTACCTACAGCACCTAAGCACTCTAGGCACACTTTTAACATGCCACATAATCATATGACATGGAAGCTGTTACATTTCAGCTATCTGCATCATGAAAATCAACCGACTTGGGCAGGGGTCGAACCTTAGACGTACAAGACCAGCGACAAACCAACAACGCCACCCAGCCAGCGAAACTACATATAAAATCAGCCACCAGTGAGGTTCGAACTCACGACCCTTGGCTTACGAGATCAGTTTTCTCTAGCCACTGAGCTATGGCACCATAAAGTGCCAACGGCATTTGGTGCTCCCAGATGGTCATCTTCCCAAGAACTGACCTCGCTCGATGATACTTGATTTCGGTGATCGGACCAGAACCAGTGTTTTCAGTATGGTATGGCCGTTGGCAATGGAGTGAGTGAATAATAACGTCGCACTGTTCAGCTACACGAGGGCTTTTGGTGACGGACCTCGTAATTTTCAACCATGGTCAAGGGACGAGGATGACACCTGAAGCTGGCATCCCTACCTCCTAACTACCACACCATACCAAAGGGAGGATGTCTGAACTCTAGACAGGTTTACCGCGCATCGCTCCCCCCCTCCCCTGAACGGCGGATCTTTAGTGATAGTGGGCTCGAACTCATGACATGCCAGCCACCATCCAATACCTTGACCACTAGGCTACCAGGGTCATTCGTTGGCAATGTAAGGAGGTGATTAAATTCTTTTCGTTGTTAAATATAAAACGTACGATAGCATATAACTCTTGCCTACGGTATCTATGGTAGAGTAATAAAGCTTATGTGATAAGGATCACATTTTATGCTTAAAATTGTTACATATAATTTCAGCCACAATTATGTGCAGCATTGAGAGCCTTTCATAAGAATTTTTGAATAAAATAACGTGTGTTGCCAGAACCAACCTTCAATCAGAGTTATCAGAAAATGTATTTTAGGAAAGATAAGAGGGAAAACACCACTGAAACACGGGATAGCATCTGGCAACAACCAAGAAAACATTGATTTTCTATTTCAAAGATAATATGTAGAAACTATAGTCTCGGAAATTATAACATAATAGGTTTTCAAACCTAAGAAACTTTTTTATCAATGCCATATTTCCCAATTTTGTGTGAATCAATTCGGTTTACTGATTCGTCTTTTGTTTATATTGGATCGTGAAACTTTAATTATTATGATTATCATTCTTACGAAACATAAAATGTTTTAACTGTTTGAGGATATTCGACAAAATTGTATTTATAGCCTCACAAGCTGGTATACCCGTTCTTCGCAAGGGTAAATTGAAAAATAAAACAATAGAGATTAAAGCATAAAAAAATCTTCAATGTATTAATTATCAGTTGATTTCAAATTAAACAATATCAGTGTTTTTTAGCGTATTTGTATTCAACAAAAAATTATATTTGCAAAATTTAAGTCTGTAGGGGTCTTATAGTTGAAAAAAGGGAATCTTTTAATCTATAATGCCCCCGTAACACCCATGGGAGTCAGCTTTTGAAAATCCCTTTCTCAGTTGATCTCTGCTCAGCAAACGTAATACGTTCTCTAAATTTCAAGATAATAGGTTTAGTAATTGTTAAAGTGGAAATTTTCATATAAAATTCGATCTCAAGTCAATTTTAGAGGAACCCTTTATTAGCGGATCTCTACTCATGAAAGAAACGTGCCTGCCATTTTTCAAGGCTAGGTCTAATAGTACAAAAATTGAACTATCTTTTATCTATAACCCCTCGTTAACCTCTCGCACCTATCCTTGGCAGTCTTTTTTTGTAAAAAACCTCTTTTGTAGGGGATCTCTATGTGAAAGAAACATGTCTTCCAAATTCCAAGTCTGTTGGTCTAATTGTTCAAAAACGGAAATATTTTGCTATAACGTCTCTTAATCCCTTGCAATCCCCCTTGGGGAAGTTAACTTTCGCAAAACCCTTTCTTAGCGGATCTCTACTCCTATCAAGGAACACACATATCAAATTTCTATCAGCCTAATAGTTCCGGAGGTATCATGATGAGTGAGTGAGAATGAATGTAAAAACTCTGGAAAATGGTTTTTCGAAGACCCTTCAGGACATTCTCCGTTTTTGCCTGAATCCTTTCAAATATGATGAAATGGGTTCCCTTTAAGTAAGATTTAACAGTAGGGAAAAGTTCCGATGAAGCCAAATTAGGTGAAAAAGGAGGATGCCCCATCACAGTAATGATTTGGTGGTCAGAAACTGCTAGACATAATAGTATTGGGTGAGCGGATGCACTGTCTTGGTACAAAAGCCAGCCATCTCTGGTCAGAGATTATGGCCTTTTTTTCCTAATTTTTCACGAAGTTTTTTAGTGCTTCAATGTAGTGGTGCTGATTAATAGTCTGACCACTGACATGAGTGGGAACCCACTCATATCACGAATTTTTGCAATGTTTTGATCAGTAATCACTTACTTCGGGTTTCTAGTACGTTCATCTACGTCCACACTGTCCCTTCCACCTGAAAACCACTTATGCTATTCAAACACATGTGCACGAGACACAGTTTTACCTCCGTAAGCCTCGATTAATATTTGAAATGTTTCCGTGGCTAATTTCAAGTTTCATAAGAAACTTGATTTTGATTCGACATATTTTCGGCAGAATGCAGTTGCACGTGTTCACTCAATAACGCAGTGTTTCTAACTGGTGTGATCGGTTAAGGTGAAACTGGCCACAGGGATAGAGGAAGTGTTTGGAATGACATCAACAAAATAGATGTTGCCAACTCCACACTTAGACTCGTTTTTTTTTGTGTGTCACACCTTGTATTGCTTTAAATAGCTTATGTGATGACCATACTTGAGTTGTGTTCCACATTAAACACCTTTTTGTAAATAATATTTTTTATGTTATTGTATAAGAAATACTAGACAATTATTAAAGCATTTTTTTCTTACTGAGCATTGATTTTTATTTATGTTGAGGGAATCAGATTTAACCCTTAACTTCACAATTTTTTAAATTTCTATGAAAAAATGATATCAGCTAGTTCTCAAGTAATAATAAAAGGGAAAAATATGAAAAAAATTAAGCAGTTTTAAATTGAATTTCAGTCATTTTTTTGTTTGTTGCAGAAGTGTAACATTGCGCAGTAGTGCTGTAAATTAAAAAAAAAAAACTTTTTTTATATGAGGATTTTATTATTCATCATAAAATGTTAATTTATTTCATCAATAAACAAGAGGAAGCATAAAATGTAATGGATTCTTTTTATAGCAAAAACACAGTTCTTGAGGCATCAGAGATTTTTATAATTGTTATGATTTCTGGATAAAAAATGTACTTCCATCCAGTGACAAAATTAGCATGTATTTCGTTGCAGTAATCTTTTTTTCTCGGATAAGTTATTTGTAGGTAATTAAAAAAATATTGAGTCTGTTAAATTAAAAAAATCGTATGTTGCAGAAATGCAACACACAGTGCGAAGTTGGGTTAAGCATTATCAAAGCAAGTGCACACAGCGACTTTAATTTTCAAATTGTTTTTTCTGTTGTTTTCAAGTTACTGATTTATTTAAAATGACACACACAAAAACATTATTACCATAAATAGTTTGATTATCAAATTTGTTGATCATACTACATTTCTCTACATTAGAACAAATAAAGCACGAATAAATTTTACTTAATAGGGTTTAATATTTAGAACGTTTTTACCAAATGTATCAGCTGGAAAAAAAGTAAGTACTAAAAATAACATTTTATACTAAATTTTAAGAGATTTAAGATTCAGCCTTTAAAAATTTTTTCTGAAATAATTTTTGCGATATACTCTCAGGAACATTGAAAATAGCGATCCAAGAAGGAAGCTAAGTACAATCGTGAAACTTTGCAAATAAGTACAGCGTAATGTGATATGCAAATGATCCCAAGTTTTGTGCCAATACGCATGCTCATACACGCCGAGGGGGCGCTACAATCAGGAAGATGGTGCTAAAGGGTGTTTTTTTTAGAGGTATAGAACTTTAAATTGCAATAAAACAATGATGTATTATTCGATTGACATGAATTTTTTTTACTCGAAAGATAATCTTGTGGCATTACATTTTAAATATGATTTCTGGCATAGGACTGCCACGGCTGGCTCGGATGTAGTCCAATCTGGACGTCCAATTTTCGATGACTTTTACCAACATTTGTGGCCGTATATCGGCAATAACACGGCGAAAGTTGTCTTCCAAATGGTCAAGCGTTTGTGGCTTATCCGCATAGACCAATGACTTTACATAGCTCCACAGAAAATAGTCTAGCGGTGTTAAATCACAAGATCTTGGAGGCCAAATCACAGGTCCAAAACATGAAATTAGGCGGTCACCAAACGTGTCTTTCAATAAATCGATTGTAGCATGAGCTGTGTGACATGTTGCGCCGTCTTGTTGGAACCACAGCTCCTGGACATCCTGATTGTTCAATTCAGGAATGAAAAAGTTAGTAATCATGGCTCTATACCGATCACCATTGACTGTAACGTTGTGGCCTTCATCGATTTTGAAGAAGTACGGACCAATGATTCCACCAGCCCATAAAGCGCACCAAACAGTCAGTTTTTCTGGATGTATGGTGTTTCGACATACACTTGTGAATTAGCTTCACTCCAAATGCGGCAGTTCTGTTTGTTGCCATAGCCATTCAACCAGAAGTGCGCATCATCGCTAAACAAAATTCGCGTATGAAAATCGGGAACAACGGCAATCTCGTTTTGAGCCCATTCGTCGAATCTACGCTTTGCTTGATGATCGTTTTGATGAATTGCCAAACCAAACTGAGAATAAATCACTTGACAGCTGTTAAATCGGTCGCCATCTTGGAAAGTAATGCCAACTTAATTTTCTATACCTGAAAAAAAACACTCTTTATATAAGCCAGCGCAAATTCGAAGATTCATAAGCGTGATGATTACCCGCCGATTGTAGGAAGACTTTGGTAAGCGAAACATGCCAGGTAAACGTGCTAGAAGACATTTCTCACAGTTAAGCGAGTTTGAGAGAGGCCTGATCATCAGGATGATAACTGCAGACTGGTCGACGCACCGTGTTGCTGGCCAGGTGGATCGTTCGGATTGTGGCGTTAGAAATTGTTGCGAGCAGTGGACACGAGAAGGTACCCACGCGCGGAAAACCGGGTCTGGAGCGACCAGGAAGACCACGAGGAGAGAGGATCAAAGGATCGTACGGCAAGCACTTGTGGACCCTACAGTGACTCGTTCAACGATACGAGCAGACGTAGGCGTAGCAATTGTTCCACAAACAATTTCCTGACACCTCGCAGAAGCAAATCCTAAATCGAAGCTCCCTTTCCGTGCACTCTCTTTAACACCGGAACATCGGCAACTGCATCTACAGTGGTGCCAAGCCAGATCA